GTCCAAAAAGTTTTTTTGTTGTTGATAAACTCAAATGTGATATACCCTGGAAGGTGAAAGAAGGTTTACATTAGGTGCAGAGTCTATATAGGATGATTGATGGATCATATACAAACAAACATCGTTTCGAATAGAATGGTAAATATAGGAAATAGACTTTGAATTTATATATTATAATAAAATTATATAATGAATGAATTAGCTCGGCATATGTATATATACTAATATATTTATAAAGCAATCGTGATATATATATATCAAATCGTTTGCCTTGATATCAGCGCAATTTCATGAAAGGGTATATTTAGGTCTATCACTATTTTTAGTCCATCTGATAATTTCGATTTTCCTTGATTTGATTTGCTTTAATAATTGAATTTTTTTTTTCTTCGCTTATTTTTATGTCGCGTATCTCATGGATATGCAATATCTTCTCGTCCGTTTTTTGCGGCTCTTCATTAATTTTTTTCTGCTTTTGCATCACTATCCTCATCTCTCTTCGACTCTCAGGCACTCGCTCTCTTCTCTTTATGCTGCACTCTCATCACATTGATTTCGTTTAATTAAATTGCAATTAATTTTGCTTTGTTGCGCTTTGATTTTGCATTTCACTTTGACCTTTTCCCTTTTGGTCTTTATCTTCGTTGCGGCTGCTGTCGCAGTCGCTGTCGCCGTTGCTGTCGCAGTCGCTGCTTCTGCTATCATCATCAATATTGATTACCGGCAGCTGTCTTCCACAAAGAGAGCGATAGAGAGCGCGCGCCGACAATGCGCTGGCATTTGCTCTCAGCAGCTTTGCTTTGCTCTCTGCTGCACATCGCTCTTTCACTCACTCGCTTTGGCAATTTGCACTGTTTGTTTGGTATGTTGGTTCCCCACAGCAGCCCTCGCCTTCGCACTTGTAGGCGCCCACGTTGCTCGCCGTCTTACGCGTGTCTGCCTGTGTGTGCTTGTGAGTGTGCCTGCTTGTATACTCCCGTATGTGAGTTGCGTGTGTGTAAGTGTAGCAGGCGGCCAACAGGCTGCCCCTCTCTCGCTCTCTAGCGTAAGTTCTCTGCTCTATGGCAAAATTGTTGCAATTTGTTTAACGCGCATTCGCTCTCTTTGTGCACTCTTTCTCTCTCTCGCTTGCTTCCCTATCTCGCTCTGCCTCCCTTCATCTCTCAGGCCTCTGTCAGTCTTCTTTTTTTCGCTGCGCTATCTGTTGTAGTTGTTCTTCATTATATTTTTTGCTTCATCGATTTTATACTATGTCGTTGCAATTAGTTCTTCTCTTTCTTTCTCTCTCTCTTCCTTTTCATATTCTTCTTCTGCTGCGCTTTGCTTTGCGCTTGTTATTGTTGTTGTTCCGTTTATTGTTTGTCGCCTCTGTTGAGGCAGGCAGTGGCGCCCCCCTTTAAGGCAAATTGTATCTGTTGGATACACTTGGAAGCGAGTTCAATTCTTGCACCTCCAACCATCAGCTACTTTGATTGCCATTGTGTGGCAGGCATAGAGGCATAAATAACAGTTATCTAAGCTAACTGCGTGTAATAGAATTCGAAATGGGTCTCAAAGGTAATTACTGAGAGAATCCAATAAAACTTGCTCGATAGAGATTCTTTTAGCAATCTTTTATTTAGATGTGGAACACAATAAATTATAACAGTTAATTGTATAGAATAATCTAATTAGAATTAACTATGCATTAATAAATATAATGAAATATTTTGCTAGACAGAATATCCTTTGCATAATATTTTTATAGATTTTTTGTTAAATACACGATATTAAAAAAATCTCAACAATTTTTGAGGCCCCCCACACACATTCTAGACATTCCAGATTTTTTAATGCGTTGTTCAACGTGTTTTGCACACTAATTGCCGATTAATTCTGATCTCAACCTTCGAATTAAGTCAACACAAGGCCAATGGACCTACCACCTGCCTGTGTGGCTGACTACACTGACCAGAGTTGACCTATAACTGATCTACTCAAAGCCTTAGTCTTCTAGATTTTTTACAAAGTTTTTTTCTTAATTGATTATTTTCTCATTTGCCAAACAGTTTTTGTTTGTCGTGTTGCTTTCATGTCAAATAGTCTTGGTTTCAAGGTCTTGGCTTCGCCTTCGGTCCGGGGGCACACGCAAAAGTTCGAAACGTCAAATACACGCGCCCGCACACACACGCACACACACACACACACACACACATGTAAATGAAAGTTAAACAGTTCACGAAATTTATGAATGATCGCCAAAGCTTACTGCTATTAACAAATACAAACACTCACATCCGTTCATTTACGCATTTACTTTTTGCGAACTTTTTGTTTTGCGCTGATGAACTTTTCTTGTAGTTGGCATTATTGACTAAGTTATTAAGTTTGTAACAAATCTAAAAGGTTTTGGAGTAGAAGTTTTCTAATTGAAATATTTTCGTATACAGAGAATTATCTATGCGAAGTTGATTTATCATAGAAAACTATGTTTACACTTTTAATTTGATATCTCGAATCTACAAAAAATATTAGTTAATTTAATTAATTAATTTTATTCATAATAGTTAATTTTACTTTAGTCAGGGCATTTACGTGTCTACGCATCAGGCGGTAACTTATTTTTGACAGTCTTTTGTTATTGAATTTGGCAGCGTCAATTGCGCGTTTATTTCCGTAAACGAGATCAATTAAATAATGTACAAAAAAAAAAAAAAACAAACAATAAAGAAATACAGATGAATGGAAGATAAAACTGCCAAAAAAAAGTAAATATTTAAAAATAATTTCAAACTTTGGACAAAAAGCTAAAAGAAAGGCAAGGAACCACGTCTAATGTGTGCCACTTAACTAATTCAACAAACTACGCCGTAAAACGGAAATAATGAAATCAATATATATAAAAAAGCGAAAAAAAATATTAAAATAAAAACAAAGAAAAACATAAGCAAAGAAAAACTCAAAATCATCTTCATCATCATCAGCGTCAACTGAAACCACATGTTGATGATCATCAGCGGAATATCATAATCGTAAACAAAATACTACGCAGTTATGAAATCAACTGCTCTCAGATGATACTACGAAGAGCCACTATGAGCAGTAAAACCCAGCGCTATAGATATGGCTAAGGCTTAAGAGATTGTCTGATTTAGATAGAACTTTGAGAGAAAGTGATCTTAAAGCGAGTAAAGATATAGCAGTAGAGGCTAAAGCAAGATTTATATGGAAAACACAGAAAAGAAAATAATTTCTTAAAAAGATTAAAGAGAATTTTAAAGAATTTTTCCTGGTAGAAAAGATTTATTAGAAGAGAAAGCTTCAAGAAATTTTTTTAATATTTATATTTAGATAATATTTCATTCAATCATAATTTAAGGGAATTAATTGACTAAACTTTTTCATGCATGATTCAGTACTCTAAACAATGATTCAGTAGTTTTTCTAAATATTTTAGATCCACCCTTGAGTCAGCAATAGTTCTAAAAACTTTTCAAAATCAAATTTAATCTATAAATAAATATTATTCAACTTCATTTTGAAAACGTCAGAGTATGCTATATGTAATTCCAATTTGTCCCAAATAAATCTAAACGTTAGACTATATATATATAATATATTTTATGTGCATCATAAATAAATGATATCAGTTAATATTCTGAACTATTTGTTAATGCATAAGACAAAAACTCTTCTTATCTTATGTTTCAATTAGAGCATTTTATAAATCTTGCGTTTCTTAGGACTGTTCTCTTTGGGAGCTTGGCAATTTTAGTGATTTTAAGTTATTAGCACATTGCCAAGCTTCTATTTCAGCTTTGAGCTAGCTTTGAGTAGTTAAAAACGGACTTAAGATCATAAACTATTTTGACATTTCTTTTTTCATCAGATGTTTGTAATATAAAAGATGCGGATACGATATATAGCTAGAGGTTAAGAATGTATTTGAGTGTTCTTCAATGGCTAATAGTTTTCTGTATACAAATAAATAATTCATATATTATAACTTCTTATAATTCGATTGGAATTTTGCTATGCTTGAGATTATCAATCAGTTAGAATCTCTATCACATTGAATAAGTGTACAGATAGTATTATCTTTTGAAATAATACATAGTTGTCTTATAGATAATGCTAGTCATATAACCAAAAGCTTCGACTCGTGGTATCATAAAACAAATTCTCTTAATTTTTGTCAAGTTCAAAAATCTGTATAAAAATACCTCAAATGCAAATAATGTTTATATTATCTAGAGAGACTTTCTTCTAGACTCCGCGAGACATCAGGGAACTGAAATAATTTATATTAGTCTTATAGTCTTATAGCCTTATAGATAATACTAGTCACATGACTAACCTATGTTCTTATGCCAACAGTCATCAAAGAATTTCTCCTCATTTGTCTAAAGTTCAGAATGGAATGAATACTATCTATAGTTTTCTCCAGACTTACACACAGGGCTCATATCATATTCTCATTGTTTTATTCCGAGAGTCGTTACAGAACTTCACTTTAATTATGGCGTGCAACGTGTGACTGGCAATCAATTAAGTAAACTACTCAAATAACTCGTATGACATATTAGACTCAGTTCTGGCTAGAAATTAATAAGCAAAAACTTATATAAATTATTTATATTTATACTCTCTCTCTCTCTGTTTCTCTCTCTCTATCTCTTTCACAGGGATTAAATTTCTACAGCTTACTGCATTGCTAGTAAACGGGGCAGCAAGAAATTGAAATAATAATAGAAAGCAAAACAAAACAAATGTAAACAAAACAAATGCAAAAATCATTTTTGTGTATGTTTTTGTTGGTTTTTGGAAAAGTGCAACAATAACAAAGTTTTTAATTTCATGCTAAAGTTAAATTAAAATTCTTAGTTAAACAAATATTAAAATAACAAAATAAACTCAATAGTAGTTAAAAATTTCTTCAAAAAGAAAATTATATGATAAAGAAAATTAATTTCAAATAAATATTTGTGTTACATTTAAGTAAATAATATTTACAACAGCTGTGCTGTATGTGCGCGCGTGTGTGTGTCTGTGTGTGTGCCCGCTAGATGGCGCTGCTCTGCGAGCTGGCGGCTTATTCAGTTATTGCGCGCTGCGCTCCTCTGATTGTTGCTAATAAAACGCGCAAAGCCAAATTATATAGCTAAGCAACAACAAAAATAAATTTCAATTTATTATATTAGCATAACAAAATCAGCAACAGCAACAACAATAGCCGCAACACCAACAATAATAATAAAAATCGCTGCAGCAACAATTGCTACAACTGTTTCGCGCTTTTCGGATTACGGTTTGTCGGTTGTCGTCGTCGCCGTCGCCGTCGTCGTCGCAGTTCGTCATTTGAGTTGCACCTGTAACGGTCGCAACGGTTCGCTATGTATCGTCGTCGTCGTTTGCCAGCCTCTAGTTTCATCTTCGAAGTGGGCAAATCGCAGCAACAATTGCCAATAAGCAGCAGCAGCAACTTTAACTAAACAAGAAAAATATAAACAATAAAGTAAAATACCAAACAAATACTAGAACATATAATTTTTTCGTCCACAAATAATCCAAAAATAATTGTCAGCAAAACTGGATTATTTGCTGAAAACTTTGCGCACGCTGAAATCCAATTCGATTATGGCCGAGAATCAAAGCGCTGCCAACGAAGATTCCGGTCAGCAACAACAACAACAACAACAGCAGCAGCAGCAGCAGCAACAACAGATCAGCACAGCAGCAACAATTGCTAACAGCGGTCAGGCCAGCGGCAGCAACTCGGCCGCCTCATCGCCCGAAAGTTCACAGGAGACGCACAGCATCGTAGCTAATACAACAGCATCGGCAACAACTGCAGCAACGGCAGCCGCCATACGCCGGCAACAGTCGATCAATATACCACAGCAACAGCAACAGCAGCAGCAGCAACAGCAGCAGCGCGCCAGCAGCAACATGTTTGATCGTCATCTCAATGCTAAGTTTAAGCCCACAGGTGGGGCAGCTGCTGGTGGCGGCAATGCGCCCGCTCGTCGCAATTCCATACAGACGCCGGGGCGTGGCGTTGTGGGCGTGGTCAGCACCACCAGCATTAAGAAGCCACCGTTGACTAAGGTCAATTCGCTGGGCGGCAGCGGGCAGCATCATCATCATCATCATGCCTCGCACTTGCATCATCATCAAGCGCATGCGCATCAGAACAACAGCAACAACACCAATAACACCAACAGCAACAGCAACAACACTAACAACAGCAACAGCGGCAGCAATAACATACAGCGCACTACCAGCGAAAGTTTGCGTTTGAATGCGTTGACTCGCGGTAATGCGGCAGCAACAGTTGCTGATGGTAGCATGAGTGTGTCGCGTGCCAGCAGCAACAGCAGTCTCTCGGTGGCGCCCAAATCGAGCAGCAGCAATCACTCAACGGCGACAGCAGCAACTAGCAGCAGCAGCACCAGCAGCAACACTAGCAATGTGGCCAGCAATAATGCTGGTGGCAACAACAAGCCTAGCTCGCCGAACAACAATGGCGCTGCACTACGTAATATTATACAGCCAACATCGCCATGGCCACATGTGCAACTGCCACAACAACAGCAGCAGCAGCAGCAGCAACAACAGCAGCAGCCGGCACATCATACGCACCATCATCATCACCAGCATCATCATCACCACCACACCAGCCACAGCCAGGGACATCAGTCAACAGCAGCAGCAGCAGCCGCAACTAATGCAGCAGCAACTGCTTCAGTCGGTGGCAATAATCGCAAACCAAAGACGACTTCCTCATTTCAAATCACCTCCGTGACAGTGGGTCATGCCAAGCTAAATGCTGCCGGCGATACGGGCGATGAGTCTGCCGATGATCTAGATGAATCTCATACAGATGACAATAGTCGGATTACAGATTTAGAAAATGAAACGCCATCCATGTCGGAGGACACGTTCTCCAAAGAGGAAGTTTTCTTTGCCAACAATGCATTAAGTACCACAGCCCCTGTTATACCCACCAGTTCACAGTACGGCCTGGTCGTGGTGGATCCAATTGGGCCGTCACTTGGACAAACCATACAGAATGTTCAGGTGAACGTCTCGGATAATATAATCAATGTGGTGAGTGCAGCGGTAACGCCCGGTGGCACAAAGAAGAAGGACGATATGAAGGAGACGCAGCATCGTAGCGAACGATTTAAAGTTGTTAAAATTGAATCGACGGAGCCGTTCAAGCGCGGCCGCTGGATGTGCATGGATTATCTGGACCACTCGAGTGTGGGTGCGGCCAATAACAATGAAAAGACTGGTAACACGGATGGATCGGCTGCTAGTGTTGGTGGTGTTGTGCCCGGCAGCAACATGCTGGAGGGCGGCTGCGATCTACCAAAGACAACGCAGAGCATGATTTTGCCTCCAAGTATGCTGCATGAGAATCATTTGGAAGCAGCCTCGGCGGATGCCAATTGGAATTATGCCGACCAGCAGCCGCAGCAGACACAGCAGCAACAGTTGCAGGCGGGCGCTGGCAATGCAGGAGCAACAATTGGTACTGCCGGTGCTGGCATACATCTAACAGCCACGCCCAGCGGTGTCATGACCGCCCCTGCCACTGTGGTGCATGGCATGCAGCAGTTTGTAAATGCGGCCAACAGCGAAGCTCAGCAACAGCAGCAGCAGCAGCAGCAACAACAACAGCAACAGCTCTATGACAGTGTCAATGCTAATGCAGGCACGCCCAATGCCAATGCAGAGGGCTCGCAACATGGGCAAACATTGCCGATGGACTATGCCACAGCAGCGGCACAGCAGTTGCAACAGTCGCTGCAACAGCTGAAGCAACAGGAGCTGGCAGCAGCAGCAGCTGCAGCCGCAGCGGCAGCAATGGATGTGACAGGCAATACAACTGCAGGCTATTTGCCAGCCACGACCAGCAGCAACAGCAGCAGCAATAACAACAACAACACAAATGTTGTTGCCACAGGATCAACAGTTGTTGTCGGGGAAACCATGAGCAACAGCTATGTGGAGCAGCCGCAACCTCTGTCGCCGGCCACGCAAACGCCACAGGCACCGCCGCCCACATTCGCAGCAGTTGCTGCCGGGCAGCAACAGCCACCGCCGAACTTCCAGTTGGAGCCGCAGCAACCGGCAACATCGCAAATCGATGGCATTGCACCATCCACTGCAGCATTCCCAGCTGCAACAGCAGCAGCTGCAGCTGCAGCAGCAGCAGCAAACCAGACTTCAAACACTTCCACTAGCACAGCAGCAACAGTTGCCGGCACAGCAGCAGCAGTAGCAGCAGCAGCTGTAGTTAATACAGCAGTAACAGTTGCTGCTGGTCAAACGTTGCCATTGCTGTCGCACATGAACAGCTACGAGCCAACAGCTGTTGCAGCAGCAGCAGCAGCAGCAATACCTGCAATGCAACTACAAAGCGCGCCAGCAACAATTGCCGATGTGCAGCAATTGGTGTTAGACGAACAGCAGCAGCAAGCAGCAGCCGCCACATCAACACAGACTCAACAACAATTACCGCCAACAAATATCGCGAGTGTCAGTGCCAACAGCAATGTGAATTTAGCAAATGCAACTGCAACAGCAGCGGAAGCAACGACAACATCGCTCGCATTGAGCGATGAACAGCAACAATCGACATCAGCGGCAACAGCAGCAGCAGCAACATCAGCAGCCACTGCAACAGCCGCATCAACAACAGCAGCAGCAGCAGCAACATCATCAACAACTACACAACAACAAATACAACAGCTACAGCAGCAACCAAATGCAGAATCGGAGACTGAAAGGTGAGTCGAAATATGAAAATAGTATATAAATTATATAGTAGATATATGATATATAAGAAAATGCTTGGGTTACTTCAGTTAAGATTGTCTTGAAAATATATTACTTAATGTATTTATCAGATATATAGTTTATCTTGTATTAAGAAATGTAAATCAAAATATTCTAGGGTATATCAAAAAAGCCAAACAATGTCTTGTCTTTTAAGCTACAAAAGTCGTTTAACCTAAATATTCATACTTAGATCAGATGAAGAATTTAAAGATACATTTCAACTATCAGTGGACAGCAGTTCAGTGCAGTTATTTAATAAAAGATATTGAATTCTAACTATTTCTGAGTTATATAATATTAAAGCTATTAGAAAGTTTATTGATAATTTTCTTAGTGTCTTATCTATGAATGGAAAATTTCATATTGCCTTAAATACTTTCATAGTTAGTATTAAAAAATCAAAGGAAGTAAACAAAAACTGCTGGGAAATATAAGTATCATCCATGATAGATGATACATATATAACAATATGAATTCGGAATCTATATATATAGAATTCGCAATATATTCATTTAAAATCTGTAGTCAAATCAAAATTCTTTTGAAGTATCTACATTCATTTCCTTTCAATTGAGATTGATTTAATTCCACAGTTTTAGCATAAATCATTCGCACGTTCTAGCTGAGCGAGAGAAATGCATTAATTGTTGCTGCCCAGATGTGAAATCATGTGCTTTAAATAAACTGCATGATAGATCGAGAAATGTGCCCAAAATTTTTATGAGTCATCTATGATATGCGTAACATGCGAAACGATAACTAAGGCAGCATGCGAATGTGAAATGGTAGTTGAGATTCGATGACTATCGATCGAGAAAGACGATATATTCAAATGATGTTGAAAGTATCGACAGCATAGTACAAGAATGATGAATGATGAATGAATGAACAAGATAACACTTATGAACAACTATCGATCAGATTTGTTTTGTCGTTATTATCGATAGCTTATCAAAATTGATATCGTATTAAGCTCTTCATACTGCTCAATATTACTAAAAATTTTAAAGAATTTTAAATCGATTATTATAATTTTAATTGATCTAAAATATAATCGACATCTAAAGGTGATGTCGAAGGAAATGAGACAGATTAGATTGGTTATAAAAAGCTTTAGACGAACATTTTTCTAATGGTTACTTAGAGATGCAATATATGACTGATCTTGATAGTATTAAGAGGAATATGAATGATAACGATTTCTCGTTATTAATAGATCTAATGCCTTTACAAATGAATTCCCTATCGCAATATAATAAATTAACGCTTCGCTTTTCACAGATCAATTACTTCAGTGATCTTATGATAATGTAGTGTATTTATTTGCTTATAGTAATTCTACTATAATTTCTGTACTAGTAAACCTATACATAGTCATATTTACATCTTCATATACAGACCGTCAATTCTTTTTCTGCTCATTATATATTCATTTACAGTTAGTGATTATGATGTTGATCATCTCAGCATCTGTTCGGCGTCTCTCATTCATTTAGCTTCGGTCCATTCACAAAAATTCTTTTTCATTCATTTGCCAGTCGAACTTTCCAGCTTTGTTTAGAATCATAGCGCTCCTTATCGTCGTCTGTTTGTGCTGTCCAAACATTTGCTCCGACTGTCCAAGTTTTTGTTCTTATAATCAATTAGGCTAGCTGCGAGCTATTTATAGAGCCAAGAGACCCTGAGCTGCGATTTGTGGACATTTCTAATGCTGTGTACTAAATTTAGACACAGTTATTTGAACAAGTCTCGTATTGATATCGTAGCACCCATTCCCATCCAGATTTTTTTCGGGTGCGGTACGTTCCGGCGGAGTTGGGGAATTTGGGGTCTGCGGTAAAGTGCGAACACGCGCCACATTTGTGTGCCAAAAATTTTTGCGCTTTGTTGTGTGCCACTTTTTTCTCTCTACCTCTCTTCGTCGCTTTCTGCTTTTATTTCTGCCATCTTTTATTGACGCGTTCATTGACTTGCAACATGCCCCAAAGGGGGCCCTCCAGAGGTTGGCTCATTATAATAATTTATTTAATAAAAATTCATCAATGAAATTAGCTGAGAAAGTGCTCGTGTGTGGGCGACCCAGCAAGTTAGCTAGCTAGTTGGGGGAGGCTTCTAAAGATTGTTGGACAAAAGGGGGATGGGAGGGACTTCAATAGTTGCCCATCAACAACAATAACAGGGGCGTGACACAAAAGGTCGCTTCAATTAAGCGCACTTTAAAGCGCACAAATTGTAAAGAGAGCTAACTACATATACCTACATGTTTTTTGTGTACTGTGAACTGGGAACTAGTTCAGATGGAAAATAAAAATGTGCTATATAAATATATTAACTAGAAGAAATGGCTTAACAGAGCTAGGCATTACTGGTATATCAACTGGATCAAAAACCAAATCTACAAATTATGAACTAGTTCAATTTCTGGTTCAAAATCGTATCCGTTGATTGGTTCAAAGCAATTGGTATAATATTGAATAATAATTAATTTACAACTCTTTCTATAAATGTATATAAGGGCTAATATGAGCTGGTTCAATATTGAAACATATCAAATGTGAACCAGTCAATAAAAATTATTGCGTTCAAAAAAGTTTGTCATATAAGATTGTCTCTCTGTCTATTAGGAACCAGTTCATTACTAAATGGTGAACCAGTTTGCTAATAACATGATGAACTAGTTAATTTTTAATAAAATGAACCACTTTATAAGTTTATTAGTCTTGATAAAATTCGCTTTCTCCTTTGATTCGCGACGCATCAAAAATGCTCGAATAACTAGTTCCAAAATGAGTTAAATTTATTAATAAAAAAAATTGTATATTATTTTTTGTTGCTTAACTGGAATTGTATATCATTTTTATAGGGTATTTCCAGTGCTTAAATATTGTGAATATCATTTAAAGTATTCTGTTTATGGATTAGGTATATTGTTGCTGTTGTTGGCGAGAGTTGTGTCATTTGGCTCGCTTGGTCAAACAGTTATGTGATGACTAATTTGTCGTGTATGTGGGTATGAGTCTGTGTGTGACTCACTGCTCTGTGTGTTAGTCTGATAAATTGATTGATCAACTGCAAATGGGGTAGAGCAGTTGCCAAGTTTAGTGCCAAAGACAAAGTCAAGGCCCCTCCCGAGCACACATACAGCAGAAGCAGATTATGGCCACTTATGTTATATATCTGCATATATATGTATATGTATGTGTATGTATGGGCTGGCATGAAGACAACTGCAACTGGAAAATGTAAAGCGGCTGGCAAATTACAATGAATTATGTGGCTTGGCATTAAAAATAACCACAGCAAAGACACAGCAGAAGCAGACGCCCAACTCGACAACGCGTCGTATGAGTAATGCAGCCAATATCCTTCTCCCTCTCGCTCGCACATTGTCTGTCTGTCTCATCTGCTTTGTCCGACTTTGCCGGCTTAGCAACAGCTTTTGCCTTGTAATGCCTGTAAAACAAACAGAGGCAAAACATGTGGAAAATTATATTGTATATGGTCGACTGTCTCGATATCCTGTAAACAGAATTTAAGATTATTATGATTGGATTTTTGATATATGATTGGACTTTTTATAAAGATATATAAAAGTTCCTTGTATATTGAAATTCTTTTGGTTTATGTGTTTCCAAATTAAATATAAAAGTATTTTTATATAGTACCAATATTATGTTTCAAAAATTTATATTCAATTCGAAAATCTATAGTTATCTTCTATTTGGATAACAATATTATGTTTCAAGAATTTATATTCAATTCGAAAATCTATAGTTTTCTTCTATTTGGATGCAGATCTTTAGTTCTTCAATAGAAAATCGAGTTATAACTTTATGTCCCGACACATTCAGACTCTCAAGTCTGATATACCCCATTCAAGCATTACCATTTACAAGGGATACACAAATGGACTGCACTTGACAGCTGGCTTGGCTGTTATGTATTTTACATAAGACAAATTTTCTTGCTTTTCCTTTTGGCCCAGAAGTTGTCCAGTTGGTGGTTATTGAAGTGCCGGCTCGACTCTGATTGATGCAATGTGGCAAGGGCAAAAGTTGTTGCAAGTGCACTTGCGGCATGTGTGCGCAGAGTGTCGGAGAGGGAGCGAGATCGCAGTAAGGGACAGAGAAACGATGGAAGCTAGGGAAATCGTGTGTTGTATCAAATGCAGAGGCGAAAAATTAAGTGGAAGCTGCTGACTGATTGACGGGTTTTATGTGGTTAAGATCTTAGACTGAACCGTAGCCCCACTCAATCGAATGAAAATGAAAGTATATCAATAGTTAGAGAGTAAGAGAGCAGCGGACGTGAGGGAATAGAAAGGAAGCAAACGTTTATATATATATTTATATGTTTCTTTATATAATAGCTAAGCCACTAGCCAGATTCAGTTGAAGCTGGTTGAATAATTCAAGCGAACAATTGGATAACAAAATGGGTAAATTGATAGCCGTGTGGGAGGCCAAAGAGTGAGACAGGGAAAGAAAGAAAGAAAGAAAGGAAGAGGAGAGGAATATAGAGAGAGGTCTTTTATTCGGAACTACAATTGCAAATGTCTCGCTGATTTCTTGATTCGACTTAATTAATTGTTGTGGTATTTGCATTTATTATAATATGCGAGTGGAAAGTTACGAAGCTAACGAAATTGGAACTGGTTCTCTGTAGAAAAGAATGTGAAAATGAATTATATGATTTAGCTGAAGAAAAAATCAAATTATACTCTGAGCTAGAGAAAAGAAAGGCATAATATATATTTGATAGATATACAAAATATATATATATATATTCCAAGTGGAGCTAGTATACGGTCAAGTGTAGTTAATAATGATTCTGCCGTTGAATTGATTAATTTGCCAGAGTTGAAGTTAATTTGGAAATCCATGGATTAATTGCATTCCCTTGCTGTGCCCCTTTTGTAATAATTACGAAAATATATATATATATATTT